TATGAACAGCCTGGTTATGGCCATGCTAGCCAGCCTCCCTAGAGGCATGCTGGCTAGCCTTACTAGGGACTTGCTAGCCAGCCTAGTTAGCTCCCCCCGCCCCCCCCCAGCTCTGTTCCCGGGAAAGAAGCTCTTAAAGCAACAGCTGAGTTTAGGGAAGGAAGGGGCAGGTGTCTGCTTTACCAGAGGGACAGGGGGAAACACCGTGATCACTCACTATGAATTGCATAGACCCAACCCTCACAAGGACTTTCATACAGCACTCTACAATTGAAAATTAAAGAGCTACCTTTTAAAATAGACAAGGAGGTATGTGGTACCCTGCAAGATTGGCCTTAGAGGACCACCCACTTTGTTGAGAGTGCCCATGGTGTCTTTGATATAGAAAGTGAGGGTCCTGCAATAAGGCTCAGATCTCCAGGACAAGAAAAGGCAAGAGTATGAGAACTGAGCCCTGCCACTCAATGGTGACTACAGGAAAAAAAAAATGCTGACCTCCACTAGGAAAAATTCAACACTCCCAGAACCCAAAACAGTCCTTCCATCCCACTCTGAGTCCCTAAATAATGAGAGCTCAGGCACATGGGAGTTTGACCTGTCTCCTCCCCAAACCATCTCTTCCTGGCTTTCCCACCTGATATAGACCCCAGATCTGCTTACCAAGGAGAAAAGGCTCTGGTTCATGGTGAAGACAAGATCCTCCCAACCTGCTCTAGAACAGCTCTAGAGAGCAGGACCTAGCGATCACTTCAGATCACTTGCCCTGTGCTGCACGAAGTGCAATGTACAGTCTGTAACTGATTGTCTAAAAGTAATGTCACTCCAGCAGTGCCCGATATTCGTCAGCCTCTTTAGAATATGTGAGTGGGACTCCATCCAATGAAAACTGTGGACTGCAGATAATTAGTAACCAAATATTCAGTCTTTCATTGGTTGATCACCATGTCTCCCACAAAGCTTTTGAACCACTTCCGCACTTTTTCTAACTTTGTGGTTTGTGGTTCTAAGATAGAAACTCTCAGGGGTTATTTCAAATTTTCTGTTGCTCACTATCCTGATCTAGGGTTGGGATTCTTGGTGCTGAGTTGGGCAAGCATGCCACCATTCTCCAGGGAATGCCAGTCTGGGGTGGACAAGGAGGACACTGACCCCCAGTCATGGGACACCATCTCACCCTACATCATCTTAGAATGACATTAACCAGTAGTCATTTTTAGTGTGATTAACTAATTAAATCTTATCATATAAGTGGGTGTCCTAGGTAAACCTAGAACTTGGTCTCTGGTGCTTGAAGGACAACTTCTCCAGCTCTAAGGAAAACACCTATGGAGCTTGGAAGACAAGCTCAGGTATCTCAGTGGGGAAAGCACTTGCCACCAATGCTATCCCTGAGACCCACACAGGGGAAGGAGAGAATGAGTTTCTGTAAGTTTCTTTCTGACCTTCACATCTGTGCTGAGGCCAGAAGATGGCTGGGAACACATGCATACATACATACAGACAGTCTCTCTCTCTCTCTGTCTCTCTCTCTGTCTCTCTCTCCTCTCTCTCTGTCTCTCTGTCTCTGTCTCTGTCTCTCTCTCTCTCACGCGCACACACACACACACACGCACACAGAGGAACTCACATGTTCATACAGTGAATGAAATAAAATTTGTAAAGTCAGGACTGGAAAGACGGCTCAGCAGTTAAGAGCACTGACTGCTCTTCCAGAGGTCCTGAGTTCAATTCCCAGCAACCATGTGTTGGCTCACAACCATCTGTAGTGGGATCTGATTTATTCTCCTGGTGTGTCTGAGGCAGCTACACTGTACTCATATGAATAAAAATAAAAAGATAATAATATTTTTTTTAAAAAATTAAAAAGCCAGAGTTTGGGGTCTTATTATTTGAAGGGAAAGAAGATTAGGAAGGGGAAGCAGATGCAGAAATAAGATTTGCCTGTAGGTCTCTTCTCAGCTCCAGACTAAGGAGAGTGTGGGGGGAGGGTAACATAACAGTGCTCTGTCAAGCAACACAGGGTTCTGAGCACAGCCTGCTATTGAGGTGTGGGATGGAGTAGCCCTAGCAGGCTCTTCCCCATCTGCCTAGTTTCACTCACCTCGCCCAAACTCTGCGAGGTCCTTCTGTCCTGACACTGATGGCAAGTTGACAGTTATCACCTCCATTGGAAAGTGAGATTCTGAAAAGACAACCAGCATCCTAGCCAGCACTGGTTGTAAAGTCTGCCCAGATCTGCAGGAATCAAACGTGCCCTGTACCTCTAGATCTGCCTGACCTAACTTTCCATGTTTGTTCTATGCTGGGTGGCTGCCCTGGCCCCAACTGAGACCACCACAGGTGAACGCAGGGTGCAGGGGGAAATGACCTCTGCCAGGAGGAGCCAGGACTGCACCTGCAACCCTGCCTTTCCCAGCAGATTATCTGTCCCCTTTCCACCTGCATTCTTTCATTTGTTTGAGCCCTGTGCCCTCCTGGTCTGAGTACTGTGCTCTAGGTCCTGAGAGGAGGTCGGGTCTCACTGCTTACAGTCCCCAGGCTCACACTCCCTGTGTTATTTCCCTACTGCCATCATGTCCCAGCCTGGCCTTGGGGAGCCAGGATTCATAGAAGTTGGCTGCCTGAACCACACACATTTCCTGCGCTGGCGAGAGGCAACTGCCTGACTTTCTCCTTTAGACTGAAACATTCCGTGCTGGAGCCAGTAGGAGGCAAAGGAAGCTCAGGAAACACAAGAAGCTACAGACTCACTGAGTTTACACAATGTAACAAGTCCCTGTCAGGGTTGAACCAGCAGCGCTTCCTGAGGGAGAAGAAGGGACTGTTGAAGGGAGCTGTTGGCTGCGGTGCAGGGGACTGCAGTGATGCAGCTGTTGTGAGTGGACATGCACACTGGGCAGGGCTGCTCAGTGATTATCTCCTGACTCACACATGCTCCCATGAGTAACCACGGAGCTCAAGGTTCACCTAACTGTCCTTGGATCCTTGGTCTTCTGTCACTGTCTCTGTTTGAGGTGGAGGAAATACATTCCTCAAGCAGGTGACAGAGCTGTGTCCGTTGTCATCGGCCCATAGTGTCTGTTCCAGATATGTGCTGTAAGGTCTCTGCTTCTGAAACACACTAACACATAATACAGCTTTGCTGGCCTGAGGAACGTGTACTGACCAGGAAAGACTCATGTGATTCAGTGCAGGAGAAACAACAAGGACAGGCTGTCTCAGGATGTGGAGGGCAGAGGGGAAGATGTCCAGAGTGCAGGTGAGAGGAACAGGGCAGAGCGGTGTTGGGTTTTATGATCCCTTACAACTCAGTATGGCCTACTGGCACATGCCTTTTTCCTTAGCCTTTTGCAGAAAATGACTCTCCACTCTCCTGCCCTCCACTCTTCTCCCCTCCACTCTTCTCCCCTCCACTCTTCTCCCCTTCACTCTTCTCACCTCCACTGTGCTCCCTTCCTCCCTGCTAGCCTTCATCTCTGCTTTTCTCCACTTTTCTCTCCTTCACTCTGATCCCTTCTACTCTGCCTCCTACTCTCTCCCCTCCAGTCCTTCCTTTGGCCTCTCTTCTATTTCCTCTTCTATTTCAAATTCCTTTAAAAAAAAAATACAGAACTGCCAGCACCTTCAGATGTTTTAAGAATTTATTCAGTATTTTCTGGACACATAGTAGAGGACAATGACTGTGTCCCTGATATAAATGAGTGTTCCCTAGCCAGGCACAGTAGCACACATTTTAAATCCTGGCACTCAAGATGCACAGGCAGTTTGAGGTTAGCCTAATCTACACAGGGAGTTCCAGCACAGCAGGGGGGGGGAAACCCTGTTTTGAGCAACACCTCCGCCCATCCTCACCCCTAAGTCCCACCCCCACCCCCACCCTCACCCCTAATCCCACCCCTGGAAAAGAAACTTTCCTGCATCTGTCCCTCAAGTACATGAAGGCCATCTGATCTACCCATGGCCCAGGAAGTAAACTGGGGCCTGTGGTCCCTGAGCATGCTTCCCCCACCCCTGCTTGATCACCCCTGCAGAGTTTTGCAGTCACCTAGCAGCCTCTGATGCTTTTGTCCAGTGCTGCTGGAGAACCTGTAAGGGTGATTTAGTCTCTCTGTTCATCAGGAGAGCTGCTGTGCCCTTGGCTTGGATCCTCTTCTTGGAGCTCCAGTGGTTCCTGCTCATGGGGTAATCTCAGGTTTCCAATCTTTCTCTGTAAATGAGATAGAAATATCAATATTGCAAACCATGAACAACTTTTCCACCTCACATACCCTTCAGCACCATTACCCACTGTCCCCTGCATGCTCCTGTTCCTTTCCTGTTTCTCCCATAGATGTGAAGGAAAAACTAAGAGGGCTACCTACCCAACACAGCCAGAGGGCTACACCTCCCAACATTCCTGTGGTGACCACAATGGCTGCAGTCTCCCAAAGCTTAGGACTTTGGGAGACCCAAAGGAGTCTCAGCCTGAAGGGAGAGATGTCCTAAGGGCAGAAAGAAAAATCAATTAGGAAAGCATCCCTTGCATCACAGAGAAGGAAGTTTGTTTGTTTGGGTTTTTTTCCTCCCCGCTGCTCTTCAAAGTTTTATTTCACTAACTTCAGGTCAAATTTCCACAAAATTGTTTTCTGGTCAATTTCCAGCCTTTTTTGGCTTCCCAAAATGGTAGTACCAAAAGATTTGTGGGTCAGGGAGAAGAGACCACACTTTAAGAAGCATTGCATTTACTCATCTTCCACAAGACAACAGAGTTGGGTATCTGTCTGTTCAACAAAACAAAGATTTAATAGTATCCATGAGGGCAGACAGGCAAACCAGACTGCAGACACTCTTCAGCTTGTCAGAAGTCAGACCAAGGAAAACCTAGTCCAGACCTATGTATAACAGGTATCAGCATTTTCACTTCTTTTTCTGCTGCTGCAACATCTTTCTTCTTTTAATTATCATATCATGTAGTTTCTCAAGTCCTTCCTTTAGCCCATCTCCTAGGATTGCACAGGTGGCTACAAATGCCACGGAGTGGATGAGCTCAGTTCACCCATTGCTAACAGCTTCTCAATCTCAGAGAGGGAGAGAGTGAGAGAACGAGAGAGAGAGAGAGAGAGAGAGAGAGAGAGAGAGAGAGAGAGAGAGAGCAAGTTCCTCCTGTCTTTTTTGTTAGCAACTAAAAGCACAGGGCCTCCCTGATTTTCTGATATCCTACTTATTTTATGAAGTTGAGACCTAGCTTCTTCCATTCTCTCACCATCAACAGTGTCCACCGTAAACACAATGCCATCTGTGCAATGGGCATATGACTTCCACAGTGGTCTTAATTTCTCTTGCCCACCTACATCCCTGAAGTGAAAGGTGACTGTTTTAGAATTGTCCAAGGTTACCTTACTTTTCTCAGTGTTAAGTCCTTTGGTAGGTATGGTATTTACAGAGTCCTTGAACTGCAGCCTGAATAAAACTGTTGTCTTTCCAGCACTGTCCAAACCCAGAATATCAACATGAAAGGACTGAAAGGACAGAAGGCAGGACAGGATGGAAGTCTGGTATGACAGTCCATTTGCCATTTCCATCCGCAAATGGTGTCCCAAACTGAATGAGTTCTTCTTATCTGTTTAGGATTTCTCTTCCCAGGTGACTGAGCTACAGGATTGCTGGCAGATGGTCCTCTGTCCTAACCTCCATGTCTGTCAGTCGCTGCCAGGAAGTCTGTCCTTGGGCAGCTGAGAAGCCTCACATCACTGCAGCCACAGCATCCAGCAGGGTGTCCTCTCTAGGTACTTGCTTGGCAGCCAGGTTAGGGGCATGCTAGCCAGCCTCCCTAGGGTCCTGCTCACTGGCCTCTGCTAGGGCTTGGTAGCCAGCCTAGTTAGCCTCCCCTTACCCCACACCCACACTCACCCCAGCAACCTCCCCCCAACCCAGCCAGGCCTTCCCAGAGCTCTGTCCCTGAGAAGGAAGCTTTTTTTCTTTCTTTTTTTATCTGACATTTTATTTACATTTCAGATGTTATCCCCTTTCCCCAACCCCACACACACACCCAGGAACCCCCTATCCCATCCCCCCTCCTCCTGCTTCTATGAGGATGTGACCCCACCCACCCACCCACTCCCACATCCCCACCTTCAAATTCCCCTACACTGGGCATCCAGCCTTCACTGGACCAAGGACCTCCTCTCCCACCTATGCCCAACAAGGCCATCCTCCCCTACATATACAGCTGGAGCCATGGGTCCCTCCCTTTGTGCTCCCAGGCTGGTAGTTTAGACCCTGGGAGCACTGGTTGGTTAGTACTGTTGCTCTTCCCATGAGGTCAAAAACCCTTTCAGCTCCTTCAGTCTTCTCTCTCACTCCTCCATTAGGAACCTCATGATCAGTTCAATGGTTAGCTGTGAGCATCTGCCTCTGTATATGTCAGCTCTGGCAGACCTCTAAGGAGACAACTATATCAGGCTCCTGTCAGCATGCCCTGGCATCCACAACAGCGTCTACCTTTGGTGACTGCACATGGGAAGTATACCCAGGTGGAACAGTCTCCAGACGACCCCTCCTTCAGTTTCTGTCTCACACCTTGTCTCCATATTTGCTCCCATGAGTATTTTGTTACTCCTTCTACAAAGGACCAAAGCACCCACACTATGGTCTTCCTTCATCATGAGATTCAAGTGGTCTGTGAGTTGTTTCTTGGATATTGTGAGCTTTTGGGCTAATATCCAATTATCAGTGAGTGCATACCATGTTTGTTCTTTTGAGATTTGGTTACCTCAGTCAAGATGATATTTTCTAGTTCCATCCATTTGCCTAAAAGTTTCAATAATTCATTGTTTTTAGTAGCTGAGTAATGCTCCATTGTGTAAATGTACCACATTTTCTCCATCCATTCCTCTGTTGAAGGACATCTGGGTTCTTTCCAGCTTCTGGTTATTATAAATAAGGCTGCTATGAACATAGTGGAGCATATGTTCTTGTTATATGTTGGCGCATCTTCTGGGTACATGCCCAGGAGTGGTATAGCTGGGTCCTCAGGTAATGCTATGTCCTGTTTTCTGAGGAGCCACCAGACTGATTTCTAGAATGGTTGTACTAGCTTACAATCCCACCAACAATGGAGGAGTGTTCCTCTTTTTCCACATCCTGGCCAGCATCTGCTACCACCTGAGTTTTTGATCTTAGCCATTCTGACTGGTGTGAGGTGCAATCTCAGAGTTGTTTTGATTTGTATTTCCTTGATGACTAAAGATGTTGAACATTTCTTTAGGTGCTTGTTTTGGGGAGTGCTCACTGGCCTAGCTAGGGCTTCCTAGCCAGTCTAACTTGCTATCACCACGCCCTGCTCCATCCTAATGAGCCACGCCCCCATGCTACCCCACCACCTTTCATCATGCTCCGCCCCTACCCGCCATACCCCCAACCCCTGCTCCCCACCTCCACGCAGCTCTGTCCCCAAGAAGGAAGTTCTTAAATCAACAACTGAGTTTAGGGAAGAAAGGAGCAGGAGTCTGACTTTCCATAGGGACAGTGGAGGCCACCATGATCACTCAATATGCATTGCATAGACCCATCCCCCACAAGGACTTTCATACAGCATTATACAATTGAAAATTAAAGAGCCACCTTTTAAAATAGACAAGGAGGTATGTGGTACACTGCAAGATTGACCTTAGAGGACCACCCAATTTATTGAGAATGCCCATGGTGTCTTCTGTATAGAAAGTGAGGCTCAGATCTCCAGGACAAGAAAGGGCAAGAGTATGAGAACTGAGCCCTGCCACTCAATGGTGGTTACAGAAAACAAGTGCTGTCCTCCTCTAGGAGAAATTCAACACTCCCAGGACCCAGCTCAGGCCTTTCCATCCCACTCTGAGTCCATAAATAATGAAAGCTCAGGTACATGGAAGTTTGACCTGTCATCTCCCCAAACCATCTCTTCCTGGCTTTCCCACCTGATGTAGACCCCAGATCTGCTTACCAAGGAGAAGAGGCTCTGGTTCATTGTGAAGACAAGATCCTTCTAACCTACGCTAGAACAGCTATAGATAACAGGACCCAGGGATCCCTGCAGAACTCTTGCCCTGTGCTGCACAAAGTGAAATGTGCAGTCTGTAATTTATTATCTAGGTAATGTCACTCCAGCAGCCGAGATATTAGTCAGACTACCTTGATCCGCCCTCAACCTGCCAGATATGGTCAGGAGGAGCCCTTACCTACCTTAACTAACCGTAACTTAACTAACATAACTTATCAGTACCTTGTTATGACTCACGTTCTGTATCTTTACCATCTATTAGGTTCTTGTGGCCCTATGGGTGGATCCACTTACGAAGTACATGAACTACTTCTCCTTGGGCATAGTCACTTTTTTCAGCTTAAAAGAGTTACAGCCCTCCTCATTCTCTGACTGGAGATCTCTGAAAGGAAGCCATTCACATCAAATAATTAAATAAAAACAATAGAGAGGGCCATCAAAAAAAAAAAAAGGCAGTTGCTACCAAGCCTAAGGACCAGAGTTTGATCTCAGGAATCCACAAGAAGAAAGAAGCAGGTCTCTTGAAAATTGTTCTGAGACTGTCACAAGCACTTGTTAGAATGCATGCACACACCCGCACTCTCCACCAGCATAAAGTAATTTCACACAAATACACACACACACACACACACACACATCACCACCACCACCACCAAGAACAACAACACAAACTAACAAAGAAACAAAACACACCAGCTTTTGCTCCAATTCATTTTATGACCATTATGGGATATAGAGTGGTGTGACCACATCCTCACCTCCCTCACCTACCCACCCACCCACACCACCCTATCCCATATACCAAGAGTCAGGAGTAGTGTGGGCACAGAATGGAGTCTGGCTGTAGCTGAGTGCAAAGGGCAAGAGGGTTCTCAGAAGGATGGCTTGTGGCAAGGTACTGTCCCTAGGAATCAGCCCACAACTTCACTACCCCAGGCCAGCCTGACAACTGTCTGCCCTTTTAGCCATACCTTACCCACCCTTCAGTTCCCTTACTGTTGATTGAGTATAAGTGAGGAGGACCTGGGACTGAGTAGAGAAAGACCTGCAGACCCAGAGAGACTTTCCCACCTGTCCCCTACTTGTATTTCCTCCCCCACAATAAACAGCTTTCTTCAACTGCTTTTTCTGTTTGCGATGCTGGAAATTTCTCTCCTGCTGCTAGTTGCCCTTGAGATTTTTCCTGACTTGTAAGTCAACTGGCAGAGGAAAAAAAAAAGATCAAGAATTTTTTAGACTGTATCATTACTAGGTGAGCTTTAAACTTTAGAGTCAGTATCTTGGTGCTAAAACCGTGTTTTATTTTATTTTCTAAGTTCCTTAAAAGTTGTGTGGCTGTGCCCATGCAGCAGTGGCACAACAGTGGTTTCTCGGGTGACAGGGACTTACCTGTCAGCCCTGATTTGGCTCAGCTTTTCATCTGTCTGGAACCAGGACAGACAGAAGGTTCAAGGGAAAGGTAAACCCATCCCCACCCTGCTATGAGGACCAACTGAACCTCTCTCCTGTGTGTGTATTAAGAGCCCTCACTCACCCTGGCCTGAACTCACAGCAGAGACTCTGTGTCAATGAGAGAAACCTTCTTATGTCCCTTGGAGAAGTCAGACCTCTACCCTGACCTCCAGCTTTGGCTCCAGCTGTCATTTTCTGACCATAATGACCACAGAGAGAGTCTCTCCTGGCCAGGAGGTGTGACCACACCCTCCTCATCCCCTCAGGCACCCACTCCACTCATCTGGACTGACTGTGTGCAGAGAAATCAGTCTGGAGACGTGAATGGAGAAATGCTTTGCTTCCTCTAAAACTGAAGCACTCCACACGTGATTTTTACTGTGTCCCTGTTTCACTGCAAAGCAGCTAGCTGTTTGTTCTGTGATCACAGGCAGTGCAAAGCTCCAGGATCTCTGAGGCTCTGGAGTATTTCCAGGCAGTTTTAGGAACTTGGTAAATACAGGGGGAGTGGAACGGGGTGGGGGGGAGAGATGAGAAGGACTGAGGACCCTAACTTTGTATCCCTCAGAGCTCAAAGCCCGAATAGAAAGTGGAAAGTGGAAGTGTCAGCCTAGGATAGGACAAAAGGTTTGAGGGCTGACTCATCCACTCTGCTTCTCTCCCCTCTGCTCCCCTCCACTCTGTCCCCCTCCACCCTGCTTCCTACTCTCTCCTCTCTACTCCTTCTTTTGGTCTCTCTTCTATTTCATCTTCTTATCCAATTCCCCAAAAAATCAGAAATGCCAGCACTTTCAGATGTTTTAAGAATTTATTCAGTATTTTTTGGACATGTTGTAGAGGACAATGACTATGTCCCTGATATAAAGGAGTGTTCCCTAGCCAGGCACGGTAGCACACATTATTAATCCTGGCACTCAGGATGCATAGGCAGATGGCTTTCTGAGTTTGAGGCCAGACTGACCATGGAGTTCCAGGACAGCCAGGAGAGGAAAATCCTGTTTTGAACCCTAGCCCTACCTGACCCCCACCACTGAAACCCACCCCACCCCGACCCCACTCTCACTCCTAACCCCACTTCTGAAAAGTAAA